TTCCAAGGGCCCTGTATTGTAAGCAATGTCTCTCCTTTTGTCTCCCTGTGGGTCTAGGACACTGAAAGGTACACATTTATTAGGATAGTTTGAAGAGTACACTGTTAAATAGAATCATTTTTTTAAAGCATGCATGGATGTAAACGTGTGGAGTGGTTCTAGTTTTTGCAAGTTACTTGCCCAAAAAGACATATTCCTCTTTCTCCCTGCCTCCCCCTGGAATGAATGAAGTCAAAGAAGAGAGGAACCAGTTTTCTTATTGATCAAAGAGTAGGTGTAGCATCATTTCTCAGGAATGTGCTGGTAGACCTGTGTGTGTGTGTGTGTGTGTGTGTGTGTGTGTGTGTGTGTGTGTGTGAGACAAATTAAATGGAAGGATTTACCATATGCAAGGGAAGAAAAATAAGAAGAGTCAAGATGTGTAGAAACTATATCTGGGTTTTCTTGCTTAATTAGCCATGAAGACCTGGTTATTCTGGATACCTTCTGGAACTTCCTCCCACGCTCCTTGCCCTGCTTATCAAATTCAATCAATGTTGTTCAGGTTGTCTAACTTTTATAGCTACTGAAAATTGAAACCATCTATGCTATGCATGTTCAGTAACTACAGGTGGATCTTTCTTAGAAATCAGAAATTACAACAATTCCACCCTCACTCTTTGTTTGGTAATTAACATCAGAAAGTTTGGAAACTCCCTACCCCTCAATCCATCAGATAACTAGTTTAAACACTGTATATCTTTGCCCTATTGTGTTGGGATAGCTATGTTCTGCTATTAAAAAACAAACAAAACAAAACAAAAAAACCAACAGAAAAAAACTCCACCCAGCCCTGAAATGCTGTCTCATGCACTTGTGGGTAAATGTGGCAAAAGTAGTTTCTTTCGGATGAATGTCCACTTGTGATAAAGTAAACCCAACTACTTTTCTTTCAAAGTTGTAATAACTTTGCAAGTCATTTTTTTTGTACAATGTCCATATACTGACAAATTAAAATGTATTCATGTAAGTTAAACCTCCCAAATGTCTATTAAGTGTTCTTCCTAGATTTCACATGAATTCTTTTAACTAAATGTCTGTCAAAGATCAAATTCAGCAAATGTTTACTTCAACTCCACGTCTTTTAATCTCTGCCAGAATTTTCATAAGGGTTGAATTTATAGTTGGCTTATCAGTTTTTGTAGCTAAAATATGACTATAGAACCATGATTTTGAGCTCTGGTTTTATAATTCCATTAGCTGTTTTTAAAGGCATATAGTAAAATTCTGAAATTTTTCATGAAAAAAGGTAAATTTTTTAACCAATATTTTTAAAGACCATATAGCATTGTGAGAGAAATGGGTTTTATAAAACAAAAGGTCCCAATATGTAAAAAAGAGAAATATTCTTTAAACATTTTTTTTAAAATTTCCATTCTCAAAATACTTATTTTGATTTGTTTTGCAGATTCTTTGCATGTTTTACTTACAAAATAGTTTAGAAAAGTTTTGTACAACATATCTGTGTGACAGGTATTTTCTGAGGACCTTTGTGTATAAAGCTATGCAACCCTTATAACATCCTTATAAGTAGATATAGTTATTCATCCATTTTTACACATGGAAAAACTGAGGTATAGAGAGGGTAAATTGTTCAAAGTCATATGGCTGGTAATGGGCAGCGCTGAGATTCAAACCCAGGAAGTCCAACTCCAGAGTCATTTTAAACTCTGTTCACTAAAAGTTCACCAGTTTGCACTTAGAATGCCAGAAACACCAGGTAAGAGTTGGCATAAGTGATTGTCAGAATGGGCCAAGCAGTAAATGAATAACTAAATCGAACTTTGACTCAAGGCTTGAACCATTTGGGGAACTTAAAAGAAAAAAGTACCTAAGCCCCTCCCAGGCCAGCTGACCCAGAAACTCTGGGGGTGGCAGGTGATTCCAGTGTGCAGCCAGGCTGAGAACCATTGATCCAAACCTCGTTAGCTAAGTCTTAGCACAGGGGATCTCAAACTGTAACCACTCAGAATCAGATCACTCAGAAGGCTTGTTCATAAACACAAGTGGCTGGGTCTCACTCCCAGGACAGCTTTTTCAGTCTTGACTGGAGCCCAAATATTTCTATTAAGTTCCCAGATGGTGTTCCTGCCGCTGGTTTAGGGAGTACACTTTGAGAACCACTGTCTTAATAGGTTGGGGAAAGAAGGAAGGGGGTGATGGAGATCTGGAAGAAACTGGACGAATTCTCTTAGTATCTCATCAACCCTGCTGCTCACACATGTCCTCTACTTTGTTGTTTTACCCAAGGCCACTGAGCAAGGATAAGGGGAGAAAAGAAAATGGAAAGATATGAAGCTAAAGGGAAGTGAGGGAAAAGAGAGAAGAGGAATCAACTGGTCAGTAAATTAAAGTTTTCTAGCTCTCTCACTGACCTAACCGTATGTCAAGAGTAGAAAATAAAAATGTTTAAAGATGGCCATGTTAAAAAAGAAGAGGAACCATTCTAGATCAGAAAGAAAATAGAAATGCTAGGAAGTGAGTGAAACTGGAGGCCTGGAGGACGGGTGAGGTGGGCTGTTGGTTCAGGATATGGAAGCATTTGTTTGTTCAGCTCCTATAGGGTCATCTGAAAACCTGAGCTAGGGTTGCTCTTTGAAACCAAGGGCAGGGACAGATACACTTTCCCGTCCTTAGCACCATGAAAGGGGGCCAAATGATTGGCAACTAAAAAGTTGCCTTAGGAGAGACCAACATTTCTCAACACAGGATGATTTTGATAAAGCATGAGTCGGGGTGGGGAACACATCTTGTCTAATAAAGAGGGAATATGCAAATTGACCATCACACCATCACAAAGATGGCGGCGCCCACAGCGGAGGCAGGGTTTCTGTAACACAAGATGGCTGCACCCACAGTGGAGGCCAAGTTCCCATAATGAGCCTTAATGAGCAATCAGCAGGGACCTGAGGCTGCGTGGCACTGGGCCGGGGCAGGGGACCTAAAGCTGTGCCCCCCGCCAGATGGGGCTTGAAGGGTGACCTCAGGCCACACCCCCTGCTCTGTCACCGGGCCAGGGGACCTGAGGCCATGCCCCCTGCCTGGCTGGGCTTGACGGGGGACCTCAAGGTGTACCCCCTGCCCCGGTGCTGGGCCAGGGGACCTCAGGCCACACCCCTCACCAGGAGGGGCTTGATGGGGGATCTCAGACCGCTCTACCTCCGCCCAGCAGGGCTTGATGGGAGACTTCAAGGCGCGCCCCCCATCCTGGCCCAGGCGGGGGACCTCAGGCTGTGCCGCCTGCCTTGGCACCAGGCCAAGGGACCTCAGGCTGCAACCCCTGCCCCGGCACCAGGCTGGGGGACCTAAGGATGTGCCAGGGGACCTGAGGCTGCACTCCCCGCCCAGCAGGGCTTGACAGGGGACCTGGGGCTGCGCCCCCCACCCTGCGGGGTTTGACGGGGGACCTGAGGCTGCGCCCCCCATCCGGTGCCTGGCCAGGAGACCTGAGGCTGTGCCCCCCACCTGGTGGGGCTTGTCAAGGGTGGGGCGGCTGGATCTGGATCTTGCCCAATGGGGGGGTGTTAGCTGGGTCTGGGTCTTGTGCAATTTTGAGGCACCGCAGGTGAGCGGGGACTTGATTCTGGGTCCCACAGCATGCCCCAGACTCTGACAGGAGGAAGATTTTCATATACATTTTACTAATTTTCTTTCATCTCTGACACTTCTATATAGAGAAAGGGCAAATAGCAATATTAAAATATTTTCTCTAATTAATCCCCTTTTAATGTGCATGAATTTTGTGTATCAGACCACTAGTGGGTAGGAGCCAGAGATGCTGGTAAACATCCTACAATGAATAAAAGTGATGATGTTGAGAAACCCTGATTTAGAAACAGCCCCAGAGCAAGAACCTGGGCCAAGATACCAGTTGACTATGCAATGAATATGCTAAGTGCAACATTACTGTGGGCCTGGATCATGCAGCTGTCAATATAAACCTGGGTCTAGGCTCTAGTCCTCAGGAAGAAGTAGTAGAGATCAGCACAACACTAGAGAAGGTGGAGAGAAGGCAGGTTGGAAGGGCAAACCCACCAACCAACCAACCAACCAACCAAACCTTCTCAAAATGGGTCTGCAGCTCAAAATTCCAAAATATAAGAAGAAACTATTAGTAAGAAAAAACCCCCACAAAATAAACAATTATAAGATAGGTCTACCTAAATTAAATTAAGAGAACAATCTGAAAATGACTTAAGAACTTCAGGACTCATCAAGAAACAAATAAGTGAATAATATCCATAAGAATATTTGAAACAAAAATGGGCATTTTATGGATATGGACATACAAAATGAAAATATAAAAATATGACCGTGAAGGCAAGATGCCGGGATTCTCTGCTGTTGGAGGGAGAAGCATGGAACGTGGAAAGGCAAAGAGAAGGCTTCAATGTTGTCTTTTGTTATGTTTTGAAAAGATGGCAAGTGGCAATATTATGGCAAAATAGTAACATGTGTGAGATTTGGGTGGTGAGAATGTGAGCATTTGCTGTTGTTTGTTTTATAACATACCATAATATTTTATTGTATTTTTATACTCTAATATTTTTAAAAGAGAAGGACACGAGGAGAAATAAAGGGCAGATGGGCTGCACCTCAAAGTACTAGCGAAGTCATATTAATGTGACCAAATCAAGAGCTGGAGCCCCACACCCATTCACTTCAAGAACAAGGGTGCCACACACTTAGTGTATGCTAAAATCTACTCTAAGACGTGGCTCTCATTTCCTTCTACATGCATCAATGTGTAGATGACAGAGAAAAAAAAAAAAAGTAACACATTGGGCTAGCTCTTGCTACAAAAGGGAGATGGCCCCTTCTGTGAAGAGAGGCAGAGAGATAAGAGTGAGTCAGGGAGGGGGGAGGGGGTGGGGCAGCATGTGGAAGTGAATGGATTTCTATTTGGGAATATTAACATATCATTCAAGATTATGATTGGTCTCCCTCACCCCCACCCCCAGCTTACAAGATACGGACAAGAATCACCACTCTACTTAAAAGAAGTGGGTTGGAACCACAGCTCCCAAAGGGATCCTTCTAGAATGGGATGTTAAATATGCTGATTTCCCGAAGACACCAGCATTCAACTGGGTTTCCATTACAGCCTTTCAAGTTCTGAGCCCCTACACTGATTCTCTAACTTGGCTGTGTGCTAATTGGAGGCCACAATTTTGAAGGAGGAGGGAGAACATTCGATATTGAAGACCCAAGTCATGATCAAGGCTGTCTGCTGAGGACACATGTCACTTTACAGGAAGCCCTACTCTCAAAATGCAGATTGGCCATGATGCTCTCTCCTTGGCTAGGAGCCTCTCGTGACTGCTGGGATGCACAAAATAAGGTGGGATTCCTTGTCACGGCATTCGAGACAACTCAGGTAAGTGGCCACTGCCTGTTTCTTGAAAGCACCTCTTGCCACTTTCCTCTTCTCTTGCTCATCCTTCAGACATCCTGGTCCCCCTGCAGATCCAGTCTTTCCTCTGCCTCACTTCTTCCACAGCTGCCATTTCCTTTGTCAGACGTGTTTTCCCCGCCACGTCCCTGTGCCCAGCTCCTTCTCACTCCTGTGCAACAATTCTCAGCCCTCGCTGGGCCCAGCTCCCATGTCAAGCTTTTGATTTAACTGGTTACATTGGGGCCTTGAGAATGGGGGTGACAGCTAAGCTGCTGGAGTGATTCTAATGTGTAACCAGAGTTGAGAGCCACTGCTTTAGTCTAAACTTCACCTCACCAGAGACCAGACGTATTCCTACGAAGACATCTCCTCTATATGCTCTATTACAGTGATGGCAAACCTATGACACGCGTGTCAGAGGTGACACGTGAACTCATTTTTTTGGTTGATTTTTCTTTGTTAAATGGCATTTAAATATATAAAATAAATATCAAAAATATAAGACATTGTTTTACTATGGTTGCAAATATCAAAAAATTTCTATATGTGACACGGCACCGGAGTTAAGTTAGGGTTTTTCAAAATGCTGACACGCCGAGCTCAAAAAGTTCGCCATCACTGCTCTATTAGCTCCTTAGTCTTCTCCTCCAAGCTCACTACAAGGCCTTTATTTATATGTTTGCTCTGACTAACTTCGGATCTATCCACTGCCTCAGAACAGTGGTCTCCAAGTGCCTGACCAGTGGCATCAGCATCCTCTGGGAATCGATTAGCTCAGGTGCATCCCTGAGCCTCCAGGGGACCCAGGTGCCCACTGCAGGGAGTGTTCACCCAGGAAGCCAGCACCGCCCCCCCTGCCCCCTGGGTGGTTCGCCCTGCATCCTCACCCAGCAGAGCCCCAGCATGGAGTCGGGCTCCATACCTTGCTGGAATGAATGAGTGAGTGAGTGATACACTTTTCTCTTGACAGTAGCTCACCTGTGAATAAAAACTGAACAAAAGGAGCAAAACAATCAAACAGAAACCCCAAACACATTTTTTACTTCATTTCTTAAGACCTTCTAAGATGTACTTACAAAATTTCTTTCTCCTCACTAACCACAAACATACAAAAATTTGTGCATTATTTGATATCTGTTCCCCAGAAATTTTACAAATTGAAATGTACCTAAAAACACTTGTCTTATGAACAGGTATGATTTGCTATTATTCCCATTTTCGGGCTGTGGAGTGAGCTGGTTTGCCTAAGGTTGCAGATTAAGTCAGTTTCCACAGGGGCAGATGTTTGAGAGGCAGAATCCTACTGCCCATGGCCTTTCACGTCTGCAATGTGGAGTCATATCATAAAGAACACGGGGGAACGCCAAGGCCAGCTCTGTACCTTCACTGAGCAGCTGGAGGGACGGGGTCAAGATTGCGCAGGTGTGATGAGAGGCGGGGCCTGGAACCCGGCACTCCTTGACACTGTGTGGCTAACACCCATCAATCTTATAACCCACGTGCTTGTCCTCGCAAAATCCCACATACTTCGGGCTTCATGCCCACAGGTTTCCACAGTTCCTCTACCAATGGTTACAAGGTTCAGGCAATAAAAGGTGAATTTCCCAATGACCACCTGGGCAATGACATGGCCCCACTTTCTGGTATCTTTTTCCCTGCATTGAGCCTGGAGGAGGCCAGCTTAGTCACATCTGTGACACAGTAGATGCACTTGGGAGGGGGAGGTGGGAGGGGGCATTTGATTATTTAATGCCCCTTCTTGAACAATGGGGTGGAGAACCACAAAGCCAGGAACCCTTCCAGTCTTTCATCCCAGTGGCTTCTGCAAGGTTTAGATAAAGTGAGCATTCTGGAATTTGGACAATTCATACTGACCATAGCAGCGGCTGCTCTGCCAGCTGATTCCCAACTCTAACGGGAGGGTCACCTGCCTGGGGAAGGGCCCCTCGGACTCTAGAAGCCAGTCCCGGGCTTTTCTAGGACCACCCTGTTGTCTCCTCTGGACCTACTTTTTCTCAGACGCAGCAGAATGTACAAACGCTCAGACAGTAGACAGGCAGCATTGGGCACAAACTCCAGTCCCCGTATGTGATAGTTGTGTGGCTGTGAGCAAGTGACTTACTCTTCCCACGACTCAGTGTGCTCAGCTGGACAATAGAAACAACAGCAGTGCCTGTCTCTAAGGTTTGTTATGGGATTTAATGAGATATTGTATGCCAGGGCTCCCACATTTCATTGCTGTCATCATACTCCTCCTGCGCTCGCTGGGAGTCTCTGGGCCTCTTTAGGAAATTCTTTAATTGGAGCTAAAAGGAAAGAAACTCATATTCATCTAATGTCTGGCTGGTGCCTGCACTGGAATATGCACTCTATAATTGTGATCTTATTTACTTTCCAAAACAACACTGTGGGATAGTTATCATCATCATCATCATCATCTCTTCCTCCTCCTTCTCATCACCATCATCATCTCACCACTGTTGGATAAGGAGACAACCTTAGAACTTAAATGACTTATGAGAAAACATACAACTAGTACACAAAACCTAAAAAGCCACGAGTATAGCCCTTTGACTGTGCTATGATGCTTTCAAGGAGAAAAAGTAGGGTTTGTGTTCCTTCCTTTAATATGCGACCTGCCACTTGGCAGCTATGTTGGGGGAGAGAAGAATTAACAGGAATATACTTCCTTTTCGCTGACATGCTACACAGATCGGCAGATATATACCATAACTGCAATTTGGAAATTTATTTACTGCCCCACTATAGAGTAAGTAAGCTTAAATTAGAAATGATACCTAACTCATATATTATCCAAAACATTTTGGATAAAAATAAAAATCGGTAAGGGAATGGTTTATACAGTATGATGGCACTTATAGAAAATTATATTTATAAAATATATTTTTAAGTGATAAAATTTTAGGATCGGTACTGACTTAACAATGATTGTTCCCTAGATGATAGACTATAGAAACTATGTATTGTTTCATTTCTGCATATCTATATATCTAAGAAATGGTCTTTAACAACAGATGCTGCTTTTATAAGAAGATAATCTCATAAGAAAACATTGCTTACATATTACACCAAACATGCACTAATGCAGTTAAATGTCCTTTTTTCCCCCCTGCTATTATCCTCTCGTTTTCCCCATGAAAATCTAAATAACTCTTTGTGAACCACGATGTCCTCATTTCTTTTTTTCCCTTAGGAATCTGTAACTTATATTTTAAAAATTACTCAGAAACAAAAAAGAAAAAAAAGAAAAAAAATTACTCAGAAACATGTGTACACTCCAGTGAGACATTGGTCCCATATTACATTTTACATCTGATCACCTGTTGGAGAAATGCCCTGGTTTATGTTGGAGGAGGATGTCAGTAACTAAGGTCAAGCTGCTTTCTAAGAATCCTGGACCTGGAGACCCAGTTTGGAAACACTAAAGGGATGTGCGAGTCCCACCTTGCTAGGTGACTGCCTTCCTCCCACAGGTGCGGCTGCAGGGGGTCAGTGCTATTTTTGTCACCACTGCACATTCCTCCCCCATGGCTGCAACTCTGACCCCACCGCTCCTCCTCTCCTCCAGGGCATGGCTACCCTCTCACCCCCACACTTTCCCCTCCTGGCTCAAGAGCTCGCAGACTACAAACACATCCCATAAACTCCTTCCCCTCCATCCCGATGCCTGCCGTGCGCTCCCTCCCCCACTGGGAGCCTGCAAGAGTCCTGGCCTCATTCCCCATCTTCTCACCGGAAGCTGGTAAAGGAAGTCCTCCTCTCCCTGTTGGGAGGAGGGAAACCAGCCTCCAGGCTGGGGCTGGGGCTGGGGCTGGGGCTGGGGAGGGGCGTGTGTGGGCCAGAAGGCTGGCTCTCTTCTAGACTGGAGCATAAGAACACCACATGCATAAGAACGCAGTCAAGTTTCACAGAGAAATAATAGGAAATTGTAGCAGGAGGTGAACGCTGTAGTTCAGCTACATTGTAAGTTAAGCTAGTTGTTATGGTACAACTGGGAACCTGGTCACAATGTTAAGTGCATTCTAATGAATGACTTTCAGTTAACAGGGGAACACAACCTGTCCCTAAGGTTTGGACTATTTGGGCTGTGTTTACTTCTCTTAATTAAAATAATAAAAAATACATTTAAAAACAAACAAACAAACAAACAAAAGCTCCTTTTGCAAAGTCCACTGTGTTGTCAAAATGGCCCTCCCCATCAGCAGTATTCCCCAGCGCATATCACTGGAGTTCTCTTCTGGGTCCAAAGTGCTCCTAATAGAACTACGGACATTGCTCGTTCTGGAGCTCAGCTGGCTTAAGAGGCCAAGGCGAAAAACACAACTGCTCTTTCTCTAAGGCATAGCTCTTCCTCTATTCTGAAGGCTGGAGTCAGAAAAGGGAACTCCTGCAGCCCCAGTCTCTCCAGCGACATAATAAAGACCCAGCAGCTTTCATAGCAAATGGAACAACTTGGGACAAGCAAAACTTCCCAAGGCCTGGAAGACCTGACGAAAGCACCCACCCCTCTCTGCTCCATGGAGAGAGGTTAGGTGTTGCCAGGAGACCGAGGAGAGCCATAAAATGGGTTACTTACCATTTTTCTTGAAAAGAGTTGATGTGCCTGGCACCCAGTGACCCCAAAGATGCCGTAACTCGGGCAGTGAATGTGCAAGTTAGCTTTGCAGAATGTACTTCCTTTTTTAAACTGTGTGGTCTGTCCAGCTTTCACACATTGATATGTAAGGTTGATTTGCATATCAACCTTAGCCCTCAGAACATTTGTATAACTGGCCAGGTTAATCCAGTTATTACCCTTTAGTAATATAAGAACAGCTATAGGTAAGGTTCTGAAGTCAGAAAATTGACTCAAAAATTTTATAAAAGTGCCTAGATATTAAATTCTGTGTACATTATTAACCTAATTTATATAAAGTCTGTATTTGTGGATCTATCTATCTATCTATCATCTATGAATGAAGGATCTACTCTAAAATGTTAACAGTGGTTGACTTGGGTGGAGGTATTTATTATTATACATAATTCTTATTTTGTACTTTGCTAATTTTTTAACTTTTCTGTTTTAAGTAGATAGTGCTTGTTGAAAACAACTATAAGCTTAAAAAGATCAAAAGATTCACAATAATTTAAATCACAATTCCAAATGTATTCCCATCAACATTTAAATGGTGGAAATATTCATAAGTTTATCATAGAATACCATTCATTTCATTCAAAATATAAAGCACATTTCAACCTAGGTTCATGTGTTAATTTTTCAATAATTTTTGCTAGCATCAAATGCCCCAATCCCTCACACAGGCAAACTACATATTCTTGCAATAAGGGCATGGTATTTGATCTCAAGTAGTTAGATTCCCCACCAGTCAACTGTAGCACCTATGTAAACATATTCTGGTACACAGAATTATTTCTTTTATTTGAATATATTGCCCGATCCTCAAGTAATTCCAAAGGTAGAAGATGATCTTTGTTTCCTATTGGAAAGGAAAGCCAGCTGAGTCCTTAATTTGGGGTTGCAAATGCTTAGATCTTCTTGTAAGTACTACCGCATTTACCTAGGTGAGGGGCACCAAATTTCTTCATTGATGACAATCTAGTACTAATTATACCAAGACAATACAAAACCTTTTATTAAAAAAGATGTTTCTTATTTATTCCTTAAAATGAAAATGCTTTTCAAAATCAAGATGTTGTAAGAAATATGGGTAGAATCATTGCCAGGGCAAGGTGGGAAGGCAGGGCAGGCGCAAGTTTTGGCGGGGCGTGGGGGTAGAACGGAGCCTGATATTGCTCTAAAACTTGTAGGTATTTTAAAGAGGGGCGGGGCTTGAGGAGAAGTCAGAAGCTAGGTTGGTGGTCAGTAATCTCAAATTGCATAGTCTCTGGCACATAATAAATGTGTAGCGAATGAATGAAGGAGAAAAATCAAGGCAGCACAGGTGTGGGAACCAGGCATGCCAATGATGTAAAACATCACCAAAGGAAGACCTCTCAACCGCAGCTTCTTTAGTGTAACCAGAAGCCTCTGGTTTCACTCTCTGCTGAAACAGATATTATCCCAATGCAGGGGCACCTTAGGGTCCAAAGCAGTGGGTCTCAACCAGGCTGTGCATTAAAATCACTTGAAAGTTTTTCTTTCTTTCTTTTTTTTTAAATCCTCACCTGAGGATATTTTTCCATTGATTTTTAGAGAGAGTGGAAGAGAGAGGGAAAGCCAGAGAGGTACTGATGTGAGAGAAACACATCGATTGGTTGCCTCCTGTATGCATCCGACCAGAGACTGCAATGAGGTATGTGCCCTTGACCGGAATGGAACCTGAGACCCTTCAGTCCGCAGGCCGGCACTCTATCCACTGAGCCAAACTGGCTAGGGCTCACCTGGAAGTTTTTCAAAAAGTCTGGTTCCCAGGCTTTACCCCAGACCACTCAAATAATCACTTGTAGTTTTGAGACTCCGGCATCAGTATTTTTTAAAGCTCCCCAGAGGAATCCCAGGTGCAGGCCTCAAAAAGGGGGAGCACACAGGTAACTCATGCTAGTGAGATGGCGGACAGGCCACCAGGCACGCCCTGCGGGTTAGAAATAATTCTACACTCTGACGCTGTTTACTACTAAGTCTATCAATATATTCTCACCATGCACTACATGATAATACTGTGACTTTCTCTCTGTCCCAGTAAGTGGGACAAAAGTTAGGTGCGAAACAGAAATATAGCAATTTCCACAAACAGTGTAGCTGATTGGACAAGTCTAGGGTTAGGAGGACTTCAAGAATTTCAATTCTTTCACTTGAATTCCCTTTCAATTTCTGCTTACTTCTAAACGCAGATTAAGGTAATTTTTAGTTGTTATTGACATAAATGCACCAGTTTCTGAAAAATGTGCACTTAAAAGAAATATTTTGGCTAAGAGAAAACCAGGTAAGGGCTGAAGCTCTTAACCATAACTTATAACCCACTAATAAGTTTCTATTTTTAGTGTCTGGAGCATAATCACTTTACTTAAAACAATTATTTCCATTGTGACCTATGTGAGTATATTTTCTGTGATATCAACCAAGTACACAAGTCCCTGAGCAGAAAGATGAAACAGGAAATGCAGTAAAGATGACAGACACTGCAGCGATACCATCTAAAGAAGATAAAGTTATATTTTCCTGGTATGGGCCCTGCCATTGGAAGGAGAAGTAGCTCAGAGAGTGCAAACCTGGTTAGAATCCTTCAAGGACTGGGGCTCGCATTCTCCGTTCATGTCTTTGCATTCTGGAACACTTTTTGTTCAGGCAATGGTAAAATCTGTCTGTCCCTTTGGTATCCACTGAAGGTGACAGCTAGGTGGATACTGTGAGGCCCAGAAACAGGGCGAGGCTGTTCATTTTTAAAAGCCAAATTTACAGGAAAATGGAGGAAGACAGCACAAATAAAAATTTAAGTCACACTACTGATCATTGTTAACAGGACTGTCAATGCTGTACCTAACAGGCTTTAAAGAGCGATGATTACATTGTTAGAAATACTCTTACACAATTTCTGCTTTATCACCTGAATGGCTAACATTTAGGGAAGAAACACTAGATTATCTACTTTAAGGATCCAACATGAGCATGCCTGGAAAAACCCCTGAGATAGAATATGGGGATGTTGCGTCTCACCTCTTCCAGGAAGTCTTCCATGATTCTTGCTCATTCGTCCCCTGGTTTTTCTGAACTCCTGCAGACTACACCATGAAATGAAGCTCTTTGATATGTTTGCCTTTTATGGTTCTCCCACTGAATTGGCTGCGTTAAGTTTGGCTCCCTAACTAGATTTTGAAACTCCTCCAATTTTTGTACTTCCTTCTGTCACCCAAAGATCCTAGAGCAGCTTTTGTTTTTCAAACCTTTTCATTTTGGCGCATGGGTTCCTCTCAGAATCTGATAAAAGTGGTAGACTCTTTGCACACGAATTCTGCATGTGCACAGCCTCCCTCAGAGCCCATCATTTCTGGGAAGCTGGCGGAGAACTCTTGGTCAAACACTGGGAGATGATCACTACATTGTTGCTTTTTGATGATGAAAGCACAGGAATGTTAAGTGACCCCTCAAGTTTCCAGACTGAGTCTGGTGAGTAAAAAACTCCATTATTTTTTATGGTTGACTCTTTTCATCAACACGCTTTTGAATTCTGCCAGCAAAGAAAACTCAAACTCACAAAATAGATTCATAGAAATTCAAGGAAATTCTAGTCTCCCTGCTTGGATAGATATGGAACAGCCAGATGGCAAGTGGCAGGGAGGAAGCAGGATATGGCCGGGCCTGCTTAAAAAGGTTGTGCAGGAGGAAATGGGCAGTACCTGGATTTGGCTTATTTTTCTTTCATTTTTTTGTTTTAAAAACAAAATGGATTTTTCTCACTCTTGTCCTTTCTAATTTTGATGAAAGGAGGCCTTAACCCTTTCAGAACATCAGTGCTTTAGAAAAAAAATAACTTATTAATCAACTTCAGTACAAAATTAACTCATCTTCTAATAGGAAGAGAGTTCCCATTATATTCCCTAGATGGGGAAATTTTATTTAAACTCAAGAAGGGCAGGAAACAGCTGTCATTACAATTTAAACCCAACCCCAGGCAAATGTTTACTAAACTCTAAAAGAACTGCTGAAGTAAGAAAATGGAAAAATAGCCTAAATTTTACTCTAGAAGTCTTTTATCAAAACAACCTGCAGAGCAAAGAGAAAAAAGAACAAAGCTCACAGAAGAATTCTGTTATATGTTAATGCACCTACTTTCTTCTGCTATTTTGGCTCTGATTGGTATTTTATCCCCTTCTTGGGTTTGGGGGAACTCAGAATATTCAGTGGTGTCTGTTTTGTATTTTCCTCTCATAACTCTTCACCTCTTCATTCCTTTATATTCTTCTCCAAGGCTAAATCCAAGTTGTAATTCTCTTATCTCACTGGGCTTTCAAGATTTAACTGACATCATCAAAATATGCACCCTCATTGGATTGGTCATTGTGCTAAACAATTTGTTAAGGGTAATTTGCATTTTAATGAATGAAAGAAAGAAAAGGTCCTATATGGAAAAATGGATCTATTTTTCCTCCCTTCCTTCCTTCCTTCCTTCCTTCCTTCCTTCCTTCCTTCCTTCCTTCCTTCCTTCCTTCTCATTTTCCTTCTCAACAGGAAGATTAGACCAGAAACTTTGGGAAATAGCAGAGGAGCCTTGGGTTTTACAGACTCAGGAAAGATGACAGGAGAAAGTAGATCACTCCATCATTCCCTGAGTTCTTTCCCTTTCCCATTGTCAATTAATTGCAGGTTTAAATATACTCATTTTCCTCATCTGTTGTCTGCTTAATTTTAAAATAGGATTTTTTTTCAGTCCAGGATAAATATTGGTGGGGCCTTACTTCTTTTTTGCACTTTTAGAATATAATTTCAAGTTTGTTTAAAATAGTAAATTTGAAAACATTTCCAGATTTTAATCTTTTTACTTAGTTTTTATTTTATTTTTTCACACCTTAGACTTACCCTATTCTCTCCACTTGAAAAGTTATTCAAACTTAGTCTTTTTTATACTCTAGTGCTCAACTTTGAATTAGTCAGGCAGGAAGCTGACCTAAATAGATAATTATTTATGTCCTAATACAAATTAGCCATACCTGAGTGAAACCTAATGGCAGTTTTTCTTTTGGTCAGTAGAATAGGAATATTTCTATTTTCAATTCTATAGGACTTTTTGGAACTCCATACTATTATTAATGCTATAAGGAGGACTTAGGAATATTTACAATGTAGTTATGAAACACATTTATTATAACACAATTTGTGAAGTGATTCACTGTCATCCTGACCCTCTTTTCTCTTATTGCTTCCAGGCTGATTGACTTTAGTAGGCTAGCACATGGTAAAAAAAATCACTGACCAACAAATGATACTGATCAACAAACTGGATATCTACATGCAGCAGAATAAAGTTGAAGACTTACCTTATACCATATGCAAAAGTCAACTCTACGTGGATTAAAAACTAAACACAAGTGCTAATACTATAAGATTCTTAAGAAAACATAGGGGGAAAGCTTTATAACATTAACTTCAGATCCAATTATTTTTTATTATGAAATAAAAAACATAAGCAAAAAAAGAAAAAGTAGGCACATTAATTTTTTTCAACATTAAAAACTTTTTATGTATCAAAGGACGCTACCAGAGTGAAAAGGCACCCTCTAGAATGGGAGTAAATATTTGCAAATCATCTATCTGATATGGGATTGACATCTAGAATTCTATATGAGAATTCTTACAACTGAAAAACAAAACAATCTGATTAAAAATTAGGCAAACAACTTGATAGACATTTTACCATGGGTTTTAATCTAGGGATGCAAGGCTGTTATAATATTTGCTTATCAATTAATGTGATGCATCAAAGAAACAAAATGAAAGATAAAAATCACATGATCATATCAATAGATGCAGAAAAAGCATTCAACAAAATCCAGCACCCTTTTAAAATAAAAACTCTCAGCAAAGTGGGAATAGAGGGATCATACTGCAACATAATAATGGCCATATATGACAAATCTACAGCCAACATCATACTCAATGGGAAAAAAACTAAAAGCATTTTCCTTAAGAACGGGAACAGGACAAAGATGTTTGCTTTCACCACTCTTATTCAACATTGTACTGGAAGTCCTAGTCACGACAATCAGACAAGAAGAAGAGATAAAGGGCACCAAAATTGGAAAGGAGGAAGTAAAATTGTCATTATTCACAGATGACATGATATGTACATAGAAAATCCTAAAGATTCCACCAGGAAACTACTAGATTTAATAAATGAATTTGGCAAGGTAGCAGGATACAAAAGCAACATCCCGAAATAGATGGCATTTTTATACACCAATAATGAATTCTCAGAAAGAGAAAATAAAAAAAACAATCCCACTTACCATTGCAACAACAACAACAACAAAAAATTACCTAGGAATAAACTTAACCAAGGCGGTAAAAGACCTGTACTTGGAAAATGATAAGACAGTGAAAAAAGAGATAGAAGAAAAGACAAACAAATGGAAGAGTACAGCATGCTCAGAGACTGGAAGAGTTAACATAATTAAGATGTCCATACTACCCAAAGCAATGTATAGATTCAATGCAATCCCTATTGAAATTCCAATGGCACGCTTCACAGAACTAGGACAAATACTCCAAACATTTAATGGAACCGTAAAAGACCCTGAATAGCTGCAGTAATTCTGAGAAAGAAGAACAAAGTTGGAGGGATCATAATAACGGATATCAAACTATACTACAAAGCCATTATAATCAAAGCAGCCTGGTACTGGCACAAGAACAGGCATAAAGACCAGTAGAACAGAGACCCCAGAAATTGACCCACACCATTATGATCAATTAACATTTGACAAAGGAGGCAAGATCATACAATGGAGTAAAGACAGTCTCTTCAACAAAAGAGACTGGACAGATACATGCAAAAAGATGAAAGTAGACCACCAACTTACACCATACACAAGAACGTAAACTCAAAATGGATAAAAGACTTAAATATAAGCCATGAAACTGTAAAAATCCTAGAAGAAAACACAGGCAGTAAAATTCCGACATCTCACGTGGCAGAATTTTTTTCTGATACATCTAGGGCAAGAGAAACAAAGGAAAAACAAACAAATGGGATTACATAAAAATAAAAAGCTTCTGCACAGAAAAAAACAACAAAACACACACACACCACCATCAAATGAGAAGGGAGCCCACTGTATGGGAGAACATATTTGCCAATGATTCATCTGCTAAGGGGTTAATTTCCAAAATATATAAAGTACTCATACAATTCAGCAAAAGGAAGACAAACAATCCAATTTAAAAATGGGCGGACAGTGCCCTGGGCTGTCCTGGATCTTTTTCTCGCTTCAACAGTGTTTAGATGGAACAGACTCAGGGTCACCCCTCCTTCCAGCCTCTGACCTCCCTCCAGCATCTTACCCAGTCACCACCTTCATAACCCTCTCAGCCATCGTCAGCCTCTGAGACCAGCCAACATGTGTTTTGTTGTTCTTGTTTTTTATCTTAACTCCTTATTGCCGACAACCATGAGCTCCCAGACCCATCAGAATGATCCCACCGAGGTGGAGGCTGCTATCGACCGCCTGGCCAGCCTGCCTCGCGGGCCTCCCACACCCACCTCTCTGGGCTTCTATTTCCACTGGGACGGTGTGGCTCTGGAGGGCGGGGGCCACTTCTTTGCCCCGGAGAAGGAGCCCGAGGGCGCTGAGCTGCTCTTAAAGATGCAAAACCAGCGAGGTGGCTGCATTCTCTTCCGGACTTGCAGGAGCCTTCCCAAGGTGAGTGGGCAAAACTCAGGACGCCAGGGAAGCCGCCATAGCCTTGCAGAAAAGGAGCTTTGGGAGCTGCAGGCCCCAGTTCTATCTGTGCAGACCCTCAGCTCTGTGACTTCCTGGAGAACCACTTCCGGGGTGAGGAGGTGAAACTCATAAAAACTATGGGCGACACCTGACTCACCTCCACAGCCTGCCAGCCCCGAGGCTGGGCTGGGTCAGTATCTTTTGGAAATGCTCACCCTCAAGCATGACTAGGAGCCTTTGGAGCCCAGAGGCCTCTGAGGGCCCCTCTGCATCCCCTGGTGTCTGGCTTTTGCCTGAACCTCTCCCCGAAACCACCAGCCACTCTTTTAACCACCCTGGAGCCCTCTCCCATGCATTAGACCAGCGGTTCTCAACCTTCCTAATGCCGCGACCCTTTAATAAAGTTCCTCATGTTGTGGTGACCCCCAACCATAAAATTATTTTCGTTGCTACTTCATAACTGTAATTTTGCTCCTGTTATGAATCGTCATGTAAATATCTGATATGCAGGATGTATTTTCATTGTTACAAATTGAACATAATTAAAGCATAGTGATTAATCACAAAAACAATATGTAATTGTATATGTGTTTTCCGATGGTCTTAGGCGACCCCTGTGAAAGGGTCATTCGACCCCCAAAGGGGTCTCGACCCACAGGTTGAGAACCACTGCATTAGACCAAATGGAAACAATAAAGCTTTTTGCAGCAAAAAAAAAAAAAAAAAAAAAAAAAGGGGGCGGGGGCAGAGGCCCTGAATAGACGCTTATCCAAAGCAGACATACAGAAGGCCAAGAGACATATATGAAAAATGCTCAAAGTAACTGATCATCAGAGAGATGCAAATTAAAATGATAACGAGATATCACACCACACCTGTCAAAATGGCTACCATCAACAAATGACAAGTGGATGTGGAGAAAAGGGAACTCTAGTTCACTGCTGGTGGGAATGCAGATTGGTGTAGTCAAAATGGAAAACAATAGTTTTCTCAAAAATAATTTTAAAATAAAACTGCCATTTGACCCCACTCTGGGAATATATCCTAAAAACCCCAAAACACCCATCAGAAAGAATATGTGCATCCATATGTTCATGGCAGTGTAATTTACAATAGCTAAGATTTGGAAACAGCCCATGTGCCTATTAGTAGATGAGTGGATAAAAAAGTTGTGGCACATTTATACAAGGGAATACTATGCATCTTTGAAAGAGAGAGATCTCCTACGCTTTGGGAAGCATGGAGACTATTATGCTAAGTGAAATAAGCCAATCTGAAAAAGACAAATATCATACGATCTCACTTATTTGTGGAATCTAATGAACAAAACGAATTGGCCAACAAAATAAGACCCAAAGCATGGAGGCATGGAACAGACTGACATATGTCAATGCGGGGGTTGGGGGAAGAGGAGAGATAAACCAAAGAACTTGTATACTTATAAGCATAGCCCATGGACACGGACTATAGGGTGGTGAAGACCTGGGGCAGGGAGGGGGCGGGCGGGGAGGGGCTGGGTGGAGAGGAGGCACCCTCCCATGGGAATGGGAGACATTTGTAAAGCTGTCAACAATTAAGAAAAAAAGTAATGAAATTCTGATATGTGCTTGAAGACATTACACTCAGTGCAATTAGAGGACAAATGTTTCATGATTTCACTTATATGAGGTATGCCAAATAGTCAAATTCATAGAGACAGAAAGTAGAATAGTGGTTGCCAGGGCTGGGGAAGTAAGGAATGGCAAATTATTGTTTGTTATCGAGTTTTAGGTTGGGATAATAAAAATTCTGGAGATGAATGGTGGCGATGGTTGCACAAGAATGAGGAAGTACTTAATGCCACTGAACTCTACACTTAAAAATGGTTAAAATGGTAAATTTTATATTATGTATATTTTATTTGTTATTATTTTTTTTAAATATACTTTTATTGATTTCAGAGGGGAAGGAAGAGGGAGAGAGAGATAGAAACATCAATGATGAGAGAGAATCATTGGTTGGCTGCCTCCAGCACACCCCACACTGGGGATCAAGCCTTCAATCAAGGCATATGGCCTGCCAGGAATCGAACCGTGACCTTCTGGTCCATAGGTCGACACTCAACCACTGAGACACAGTGGCCGGCCATATTATGTATATTTTAAAAAGATCACTAAACCCACTAATTATTATAGAGAGTACTGAACCACTGTGTCATATGCCATTCTCTTCAATTTTCAGATTTAATCTCCTTGGCTGTCTCATATCACAAATGTTAGTCGCATTTGGGAGGATTTTTACCAATAGCCTTGCATGACAACAATAGTAACAGTTACCATTCATTGCTTGTCTGTTAGATGACAAGGTGATTCTGTGCATTATCTTTTTTAAAAAATATATTTTTATTGATTTCAGAGAGGAAGGAGAGGGAAAGAGAGATAGAAACATCAATGATGAGAATCATTGATCGGCTGTCTCCTGCATGCCCCCTACTGGGGATCGGGCCCACAACCTGGGCTTGTGCCCTTGACCAGAATTGAACCTGGGACCCTTCAGTCCTCAGGCTGACACTCTATCCACTGAGCCAAACCAGCTAGGGTTGTGTGCATTATCTTAATGACACACATAATTCTAGGGCTTGGTGGTTTAATAACTTGTCTATTGTTAAATAGTTTATCATTCTCTTCTCTTAAACCATTTCACAGCTGTCAGCATGGTGGTGAGTAATAAACATGAGGTAGGAGTTGAAGGGTGGAAGGGCAGAAAGATGGATATTTTTCATGAGAAATATTTGTGTGTGTGTGTGTGAGAGAGAGAGAGAGAGAGAGAGAGAGAGAGAGAGAGGTTTCATCTAACATTTGATGTTGTTTTCATAAATAACTATTGGGAAACTAACTCAGGAGCTGCTGTTATGGGCTGTTGTATACAGTATAATGTCCCACTGCACACACAAACAAAGGGTGTTGAGAGAGACAATAGTGAAAAGCCAGTGTGAGGATGGAGACCCATACCTCAAACAATTATCAGCTTTCTTCTTATCATGTGATCAGTAGAATAAATACACAATCTAGCCC